TGTATGTATGTATGTATGTAACGTACCGAATGTCTGTATGTATGCAGGCACGTATGTATGCACAGCCCTTCAGTTTCCTAATTCGCTTTTGTTTGGAACGAAGCTGTGGAAGAGAAGAGCAACAGAAGAAGTTGGCACGCCGAGGTCAGGGTTGGTCTCGATTTCTTACGTTCAATTTGCGTGTTTTGCAATTTCCTAAAACCAGAGGTTTCTCAAGCAGTGATGTCGCTGTACCCATCAGGCAAAGCAAACAACCACTGCTCATAAACCCTAAACCCTAAACCCTAAACCCTAGACCCACCAGCCGATACATCTAAGACACGACAGCGTCGTGGCGCCCCGAGGCTCTCCGGCTCGAGTTTCCAGGCCTTCGGGGGCCAGGGACAACGCCTGGGCCGCTGGGCTTCAACAAAGAAGGGGCCGGGATCCATTCAAAGCAACTTCACGGGATCTCGGATATGTCAAGCGGATTTTGTCATAATTCCACGTCGTTCGCCCCACAAGCGGTGTGCAGGCTGCTTGAAGTTTTTCTGGCGACGTGGGTATTCACGACTTGAGGAGTTATGCCGTCATGTCTCTCAGCGCCGTTAGTCGCGGGCTCTCGGGGTGTAGGGCCCAGGGTCATTGGTGAGAGCTTTATATTCTGCGCAAGTAAACCCTTCGACTGCATGCGTCCGTGACTGCCCATGGTTTGCCTCAAAACCCGAGGTGCAGCCTGAACGGACAACCGCGCGCCCGTGTGGGCAGCGGCACTTCATGGTTCCTGTGATTCTGGCGCTTAAACTGAAGCGCACCTGCGTAAAAGGAGGTGTCTCGAGCGCGGGCTGTGTACAAGCTGTCGCCTATCACGATCCGTCGCACAGGATGCACAACAGGCGAACTCCAGATCACCGCAAACCTCTCATCCTCAAGCAACCCGTTGAAATGCAACATCCAAAGCCTTAACTGCCTTAACCCTCGCACCACAATCTTCCTCCACCGTCTACGCAATCTTCAGCGGCTCAAGACCAGACAAAAAGAGTTCCGGCCGCCGCGAAACAGGAACTCAGCCAAGGCGCCGGTGGGTTAGTTACATGGGTCGTGGTGGGCGGGAAAGGGGTGGGGGAAAGGGGTGGGGGCCAGGGGATTTAGGGATGTAGGGCTTGGGGTTTCGGGTTCAGGTGTGAGGGGGTTTGGGGTACACGGTTTGTTTTCTGTAGGATTCTGGAAGGTTTGCTGGCAAGGCTCAGGAGGTTTAGGGTAACCTGGCGACCCTTCCTGGGCTTCCGGGCTGGGGGGGGCTGTGGGCTCAGGCTTCGCATCGAAATTTCGCTGGGCCCCCGGGCCCCCGAAGGCTGTACCGCTGCCCGGACCTGTGGTTCTCCCTCACTCTGGGAGGAATGGCGGAGGAAGAGGAGCAGGTCTTCGACTTCGGCTCGAAGAAGAAAAAGAAGACCAAGGACAAGAAGGAGAAGGCAGCATTGAGCCTTTCGATTCCGGGCGCGTCTCCTCCCGGGTTTTCGGGAATGCAGGGGGGGGGGCAGCTTAGGCTTGGGGCTTCCCCTTCGCTTGATCTGTCTACTTTGGGTTAGATCGGGAAAGCTCGGTGTCACCATCGGAGCAGTCATGCCCCAATGCAGTTAAAACAAAACTCAGCACGGAAGCAGCTGGTGCAGAGGATCTTCCCAAGCCCGAAAGTTCCAACCAGCCTTGGATAGCCTTAATAATCAGGGACTCGAAGCTAGGAGTTCCATTCGACCATTACGGCAAAACATTACCGAACCTTTTTTGAAGATCCAGTTCGAAAGGCTGTACCCCGACCTTGTCTTCTGAACGGGAGAGTGACGGGGAGAGCCAGCGGCCAGGCGGACAAGGATGAAGGTGCCAAGGCGACGGAGCCACGGCCATGCTGCTCGCAGTGTTGTTTTTGGCGTTTTTTGCCGGTTGGGGGTGTAGGGCCTAGACTCCTAGACTTGAGCGTAGGGTTTTTGGGTTGAGAAACTACAAGAGATCCGAGTTGGGAGTCTGCATCATCGGGCTATCCTACGGCGCTCCTTCTGACAACCCTATCTTTCGCCCTGGCACAGGAGGAAGGCGAAGTGAAGCTTCAAGGTGTTGAGGGTTGGACGCAAGGCCCGGAACCGGTACAAGCTTTCCGTTTTCGCAGAACACACTGATGCTCAATTGCTGTGGTGCAGGCGAGCTGCACCCTTACAAGGACCTGCTGGAGCGTCTGTACAAGATCATCGAGGCAGGGCCCACAACAGGAGGGTCACAAGTCCTCAACTTAGACTAGATCCTGCAGGGGCAAAAAAGGTCAGTCCATGGGGACAGCACGATGGATCCCCAACCCTCAACCCATCGGCACCAAAAGCTGGTCCGACTCTGCCACAGGAGCACAACCCCGAGGTGGGGAACAAGGAGCGCTACATCCTGAAGCCGCCCCAGGTGGTCCGTGTCGGCTCCAAGAAGGCGCGTCGTCAGCAGATGATGCTCTTGCTTTTTTTCGTCGCCGTGAGTATGGTCTTCATCATTATGTGTCACCTGTTGTTGCTATTGCTTCGTTTGTGGTCGTGAATACAGCCTTGGTGAGCAACGGACATACCGGTTATCATCGGTGGTAGTACTTTGTAACTGGTTCAGGACTCCGGCAGTCCAAGAAACAGAATTGTCAATCTTTGTGGAAGAAGCTGCAATTGCGAGACTCTCCGAACCCGCCCTCTACCATGCATGGCGCTCCTAGGAATCTTCAGTACTATAGGGCCTCCCTCCTCCGGCGTCGTACGCCAGGTTGCCTGGGTGAACTTCTCCGAGCTCGGGACCCCAGGTTTTGCAAATAAGAAGCTTCAGGCTACGAGGCTGTTGGGGCTCTGTTTTTGTTTTTGGATTTTTCAGTGGTTTGGTTTTTGGTCTAAGGCTTTGTGGATTGTGGGTGCGAAGATCGTTACGCGTGCTGACCGGAGACCATCGTCAGCTTCTTCAGAGAATGAATAGGCTTTGAAGGGGCGTCATGACCCAACTTGAGAGCTTGCAAGGAGTATTGCCCGGTTGCAGTTGAGACCTGAACGATTTTCTCAGCTTTGGGCCCGCACTCCCCTTTTTTTCGGTAGACGCCCTTGAGAGTCAGGATCTGCAGCATGATGAAGAGGCCGGTGGATCACGTGACTCGGCTCGATATCGGACAGCGCAGCAGCGAAGCTGATGCTGTGCACATGCTTGTGCCCGGTTTCAATTTGCCATGCGCCGCTGGTTACATGTTGAGATGCACTTGTCCCATAAACTCATCTTAAGATGCCCTTTTTTTTGGATTCCTCCGCCGTGGTGCAGCTTGCTTGACCCAAAGTCCCTGCAATCACACCTTAACACATCCCCAAGCCAGAGCTTTCCTTGCCCGAGGTGGTGCAGTTTGTGCTAGCCGAGTTCGGCACCGAGGGCTCCGTCGCTGGCAGCGCCTAGCCTACACTCTAAACCCTAAACCATAAACGCCTGAAGCTTGAACCAAGGACCTTCAACCAAAAGCCTTAAACTCTAAACCGTAATTGGGGTTTGCGGAAGGATATTCTGTAGCTTGTTTCGTACAACAGGGCCAATGTGCAACATGTTCCAAGAATCTAATTTCAATCGTAGTACACCCCGAACAAGCAGTTGCATAGGTTTGATTCCTCCTATCGAGGAGCACACAGCCTACCCACGCAGCTGTAAATTCGCATCCATGGACTAACGAACACTGAACCCTACAATCCCTCGGCCCTAAAGCCCCAAAGCCCTACACTCTAAACCGATAACCGCCTAAACCCTAAACCCTAAAGCAAGGCCCAAACCCGTCTAACTACGTCAAAGAACGGCCTAAGAGCCGTCCAGGTGCCACCACGCGTGCAGAGGGCCAAGGCCAAGACGGCCAGCTGGTCCTCAAGGCACGCACATATCGGGACACTATACCATATTATACCGTGCTTTACTGTAACACAATATCGTATAACTCAACAGAGCATAATGTAGTATAACGAAGCATGCCATCATGTGTTTCGTATCATCTAGCATAGTACAGTACAACACAGTATAATGGAACATTATGTAATTCAACAGAGCAGCAGATAGTAGACCTGCACACTATAGGGATTTACAGCTCAAATTTACATTTTTCCACATTGCAACAGGTCTACTACCCTTGTAACAACGGGCTTTACAGGGCTTCATAACGTAAGAGCCTGAGCATTGCTGTCGGTATGGTCTTGCCAACAGTGGACCAGTGGCTCGTTTTTTTCCGTCAAGCTCTGTCGATCACCAACCTATATCTATATCCGTATCTGTACCAAAAGACCGATAGACAGACAGATGGATGCAGGAGGGAGGGAGAGAGACAGGAGACAGAGAGAAGAGAGACACTCAGAGAGAGAGGGAGAGAGAGACAGACCCCTCATGGTCTGGGGAAGAAGAGGGAGAGAGACAGAGAGGTAACTGCTCATGAAGCTTCAAAACCAGGGCCGCTACCAGCCCAAGCATTGCGAGTCTCTGCTCCGGAAGTACATTAAGGCCCGGCCGGGCGGGGACTGTTTTGTCGGGATCTCGGGGCAACTAGGGTTTAGGGGTTCAGGGTTTTTTCCCCCAACTTTTCGCGGTCCGAGGGCGGTGATGCGGAAGTAGGTGGGCAGGCCTGGAACTAAGAACCCTTATAAGCCCTTCAGGCCAAGCCCTCAGCCCCAAGCAAGCGTCAGCTTCAGGCCATCCGCCCCAGACTCTAATCACTCTAATCCCTACACACCCCCCCCCCCCAAACCCTCAACCCTTGCACTAAACCCCTGAAGCCCCAGGCCCTTAACCCCAAACAACACCAAACTAGAGATCCCGGGTTGCCTCGCAACCAGGAGTACGTGACCTGCGAGATGTGCAAGTCGGCCAGCACCACGCTTCGGAAGGTCGGGGGTTGAAACCAGAGAAGACTTGAATCGGGGTTTTTTGGGGGTTCCTCAGGGTCTAGGGTTTCTTAGGGTGGTCTAGGTGCTTAGGAATTTTCAGTGAGGTTAGGCTTGTGCTTGATATCCAGCTGTTTTAAATTTTCTACTTGCAAAACGCAGGCTATAGCCGTAAGGTTTTGACCCTACATTGTGCCACCCTACTCTCTATGGTTCCGGTGCTCCAAGGAGAGGTGAAGTAGATCAGCAGAATCCGTTTTTGGGTTTAGGGTTGTGGGGAGGCAGACGGCTGTCTGCAGCTTTTTTCTCCGGACAGGACCCGTCCACCCGCCTGACGATGGTCGAGTGCTCGAAGTGCGGCGCCACACGGACGGCGGCGTCCATCAAGGCCCCCCGAACTTTCGGGCGCTCTTCAGGACATCCGATGAACCCCTCCCAGTCCCTTCGCCCTATATAAGACGCAAGCCGTGTGTAACTCAGACACCAAAGGCTCCCTCAGAAAGTCTCAAGCTCCCAGGCACAACCTAAACCCTCAACCCTAAACCCTAAAAGAGGCTCCAGACCCCAACCGCCTCCAACACCCCCCCCCCCCCCCCGAACCCTTCGAAGCGCCGTCCTCAGGCCGGCTTCCACGCCGTGACGCGCGGTGACCGTAAGGCGGCCAAGCAGCTCAAGTAGAGGCGCTTGGCCTTCTAGTGGCCCTGGTAGCTCCGAAAGCCAGAGAGCCCACACTTCCTTCCCCCGAAAGTCTACCTCACCTTACTGTAACTTCGGTGTTCTTCTTTTGTGGTCCTCCTTCCTTGTGGGGGTTTAGTCTTGTGGGGCTCTTTGGAAATACGAAGCCCTTCGGAGTCGGCGGAGAGGGGACGTGGGCTCTCTGTAAGCCCGACTCTCGCAGAACCGCGCTCGACTGCTCCAGAGCAAGAGGTGCCCATCCCGAGGCCGCAGAGCACCCCAGGTACAGGGGGTGTGGGGAAGCCGCGCTGTTAGCAAAAAGTGGGGAAGCCTTGATGGTGTTAAGCTCCAGGAAATCCACTACGGCAGTAGGCAGCACAGGCTAAGCTGCTTCAACGAAGGCTTTGTCGAGCTGCAGACTTTCACAGTTGTTCTTCTCCCTTCTTCATTTCCAGCATAAATCCGGACAGTGTCGGATTTCGATTTCATCATCGGTAACCCTACTCAACCTATGTGCTCAAATTGACACTGGCAACGGTCCTGGTTGAGATGAAGCTCTCTGCATGCCTTGCGCGCCTCCGCAATCGAGCTTCTAGGCCCTAAACTGGCCCTTAAAAGCCCGCAAGCCTAGGCCTAGGCAGCCCAGGCCCCAAACTGAGAAGAGCCCGGAAGCCGCCTAAGATCCAAGACCGGCTCCTCCCGGCTTTTGGGCTCCAGAGCTGTGGGGCTCTTGGGCGCTTCCTAGGAGCGGCTCAGGGAGCTCTCTCTGGGGGTCCCTTCTCTTTTTTGTGCCGGCCATGGGAGAAGCTGCCGGGGAGCTCGGAGTCGGAAGGCAGCTCTGAATGCAGTGAATACTCGTATGAAGCCCCTGAATGCTACCTTATACATGAACCGGATGATTCTTCGAGGAGTCTTCCTAAGCGAAGGGATGTTGGAGTCGACGTGACAAGCCCTGAATCCTTCCCGGAGACTTGCACACGTCTGCCGCAGGATTCGTGTCCCGCTTTGCGGAACCGGGGAGGGGTGTCGGAACCTGGCCCTCGAACCTGAACCCATACCACTGCCCGGGCTCCTACGTAGCACTAAGCTCTCACTCATATTATAATGGTAACGTGAAATCCAACAGGCCCTCAACCCATGTAATGGCACCTTTCGACAACCTTAGACATCCTGAGACCAAGATCATATCTCTCTTGACCAGAAACCTAACACTGACCCTATCCTAGGCTTTAGCAGGCTCAGGGAAACCTTCGATAGCAAGACTGTCTTGACTAGTGTAGCTTGTGGTGACCTGTAACTTGAAGCGCCCAGCGTTAACCGTAAAATCCTAAACCCCAAACCCTAACCAACCCTAAACCCTACGCCCTCAACCCTAAACCGTTGCGGTCCAGAACCTTATGGTACCCCCGGTGCCGGGTGGGACTGAAGGTGAAACGTGGTGGGCTGCAGGAATTTTGGAAATCCTTCAGGTCTCGCA